AAAGCAATGGAAAAAATATCCTCTGGTGAGAATTAACAAAACAAAACAAAAAAAAGAAAAAAATCCTCTCTGGTTCATTTTTAAAAAATCTTCTTTGTTATTCTTTATGATTTTTTTGTTCCCTGCACATATTTGCAAGCTTGTCTTTAACTTCTAATTAATATTATATTAAAGTCATTATTATAGTCAGACCTGGACATTCCATTATCTGAAGAGTCCCTGGCCAGCGAATTCCTTTCTCACCAGCTTTTTGAAACATGGTTTTTAAATATTTTATTCAAAATTTTTAGTGTTGTTCAATGGTAGGGTCAATCTAAGTGCTTAGCCTGCCATACTGCTGGAAATAAAAGTCTAGCATATTTATTTAAAATTGATAAAATGATGAGAGGGGAAAGTAATGGAGATTGGCCTTTGAGACCTAGAATTGCCACTCTGTGCTGAAGGCATTTTATGAAGGCCCCGAACAGTGCATGAGGTGCTTTGCTGAGAAGCCACTCACAGTGCGCTTGCCCACCAGCATGGTGGGGATCCATCTACTCGGCACCCGCCCCCAGAGGACGTTAGTGTCCTGCAGGATCCAGCCATCACTCTTTTCCTCCTACACAGTCTTACTACTGTCTATGGCTTCAACCATCACATTGATGCTGGTGACCCCCAAACCTATGTATCTAGCCCTGACCCAACTCCTGAGCACCAGGTCCCCCTTTCTCCTTCCATTTTGAAGTGTTTACATCTCTATGTCCCACAGACACCTCAGTCTTCACATTTCCCAAGTAGAGCCAAGTGTCTTCCCTGCCAATCTTGTTCCTCTCCTAGCATTGCCAATCTGGTAACCAGTTTCACCATGGCCCTCACCTCTGAAGTTAGAAGCCCTGGAGTCATCCCGGATACCTCTGCCAGCTCTGCGTGCCATGTCCAACTGTTACCTCACTCTGTCTCTTGACCCTATACAGGTTCCTCCTTTCTCTGCACTGTCACGCCTCGTGCAGCCCCTGCTGCTGGTCTGAACCATCACCTGCCTCTTCCCTGGGCTCCCTCCTTCTGGCCTCTCCCTGCTGGGGTCCAGTTCTAGCATTAATGCCAATCAGGATCTCATCCCAATCGTGTCATATGCTGTCTCACTTCCACCTTTCTCCCCAGCGCCTGTAAACAAAGCCCATCTTCCTTAGATAATATGTAAGGTTCCTCACATCTACCCCATTTCTCTCCTTTGCCCACCATTTATACTCCTCTGAATGTGCCATCTCTTCTCATTGCATGTTTTATAGTGCTGAGCAGGGGTTTTCAGATATAAGTGGGCATCAGAATCATGTGCAAGCCTTGTTAGAACACAAAATACTGGATGTCACCCCCAGAGGTTTAAATAGGGTAAGTCAGAAATGGGGCCCAAGATCTGAATTTGTAACAAGTCCCAGTGGTGGCTGCTTCTGGCAACAAATATGAGAACCACCAGTGTGGACTGGTAATGAGTGTGAGCCCAGGAGCACTTCACTCCCTCTATCATGTAACCTCTCCATGCTGCGGTTTACTTTTCCATGAGAGAGGATTCAATGAGTTAATAGTCAGAAAGCACTACACACAGTGCCTGCTTCATCGTAAGTGCTCAGGAAATGTTAGCTGCCAGCATTTTCTATTATTATTTCTATCATAATTCACATTCTTGGTGATGGATGTCTGCCCCCTCACTCTTTTCTGCTCACAATCTTCTCCTTTCTTTCAAGAACCAGTTTCTTTGCTGAGGTGCTAAAACACTCTTCTTTGCCACCTTATTTGGCCGCCCTGCTCTCCTCGGCCTCTCCTCCTGCTCACACACTCCAGTGTGCGCACCCTGCCCAAGGCGCTCCCCTCCTTCCCTGGAGTGATCTCCTCCACGGTGCACTCTCCCTGGCTGTCTGGTACATCACAGGGACTCCAAAATGCTAATTAAATGACTGACTGGGCTTCTATTATAGAATTGAATATTGTATTGAAAATATGATAAAATGTGCTCAATCTGGACAAAGAACTGAATGCTAAGAAAAGGTAAAGGGAAAAGAATTAAGTGGACATTTGGGAATGTTGTATTCAGGATAGTGGGATGATGCTTCAGGAACATGGTCCCGTCTTCTCAGGAACATCTGAGAGCACATCACTTAGTATAATCTTAACTACAGGTAGCAACTCCCCCACACAGTGGACATAAGTGATGAGGATACTCTTTACTGTTATAATAGGACTAGAGGCCTGGTGCATGTAATTCGTGCACTGGGGGGATCCCCTCAGCCTGGCCTGTGCCCTCTCGCAGTCCGGGAGCCCTTGGGGATGTCCGACTGATGGCTTAGGCCAGTGGTCGGCAAACCATGGCTTGCGAGCCACATGCGGCTCTTTGGCCCCTTGAGTGTGGCTCTTCCACAAAATACCACGTGCGGGCACGCATGTACAGTGAGATTGAAACTTCGTAGCCCATGCGCAGAAGTCGGTTTTCGGTCTGGATGAGTCTATTTTGAAGAAGTGGCGTTAGAAGAAGTAGGGCGTGTCGGTCGGTTGGGCGACGGGAGATGCAGTGCAGGCAGCCCTCAGGGTATGCAGCGCGGGGGAGGCGCGCGAGATTCATGCACTAGTTGAGGATGGTAGAGTTGGAAGGGGTCGACCTCAGCGAACGTACCTCAATCAGATTGAGGACGTTTTTAGCAAAGGCCAGCTTAGGAGTACTCTAATTAAGTTAATAATAATGTACCTACTTATATAGTTTAAGTTTAAAAAATTTGGCTCTCAAAAGAAATTTCAATCATTGTACTGTTGATATTTGGCTCTATTGACTAATGAGTTTGCCAACCACTGGCTTAGGCCCACTCCTGCCACGCCCATGCATGAATCTTCGCCTATTGGTGATGGATGTCTGCCCCCTCACTCTTTTCTGCTCACAATCTTCTCCTTTCTTTCAAGAACCAGTTTCTTTGCTGAGGTGCTAAAACACTCTTCTTCGCCACCTCATTTGGCCGCCCTGCTCTCCTTGGCCTCTCCTCCTGCTCACACACTCCAGTGTGCGCACCCTGCCCAAGGCGCTCCCCACCTTCCCCAGAGTGATCTCCTCCATGGTGCACTCTCCCTGGCTGTCTGGTACATCACAGGGATTCCAAAATGCTAATTAAATAACTGACTGGGCTTCTATTATAGAATTGAATATTGTATTGAAAATATGGTAAAATGTGCTCAATCTGGGCAAAGAACTGAATGCTAAGAAAAGGTAGAGGGAAAAGAATTATGTGGACATTTGGGAATGCTGTATTCAGGATAGTGGGATTATGCTTCAGGAACATGGGCCTGTCTTCTCGGGAACAGTTTATCCAGTGGGTCAATGATATCATCAAAGACCCAGTTTTTTGGTTTTTGTTTTTATCTTTCTCTGCTCTTTACTTATGCTCCCACCTCATGGTCACAGTGTGGCTGCAGAAGGTCACAGTGTGGCTGTAGAAGGTCACAATATGGCTACAGAAAATCAAGTGTGGCTGAACAGGGAGAGGTTTCTGCATCTTCCTTTTTAAGAGCAAGGAAAACATTTCTAGGAAACTACCCCCTTCCCCGCCAGCAGGCCCCTCTTCATGTCTCAGTGACTAGAGGTGGGTCAGAATCCACCTCTAACCTACCCCCTTGCAAAGGGCCTGCATTTTCTTCGACTGGATGAGGCCCCTGAGCTAGGCATATGGTGGCACCCTGAGTGGTGAACACACTGGAGTTCTGTTAGAAAGGAGGAAGGACCACAAAATACCACATGCGGGCGTGCACGTACAGTGCGTTTGAAACTTCGTAGCCCATGCGCAGAAGTCAGTTTTCGGCCTGGGTGCCACACTCAAGGGGCC